TGTCCATAAATAACTGTTTTAAGTGTTTTTACAAAAAAGGAGCACATAATTACATAAATCTCAAAGAATCCCAACAGAGAGCTCACGCCAATGCTGCTTCTGTGGGTATTCCTTGAAGAAAGGTGAAGTCATTTTTACAGGAGACGACGAATACTACTACTTTTAAAAATGACAGAGCTGCAAAGGGATCACAGAGGTCATTTCGTTAGTGGGAGCAGATCTCGACAGATTTTCCCATCTCCTTTCTTCTTATCAAGCCACTGACTGCAGGGAAAAGTCACTTTTTCTTGACTCGTGAGATTTGTGATGTCCACTTTCTCTAACATCCAGCCGGCTCCAAAACCTTTGTTGTCATGTTCTATACGCAAACGTGTAAGCTGACCAAGATCCAGTGCTTCAATTTTAAAGTCGTCCACTTTTCCTCTCTCGAACAAGTTGACGAACTTTTTAGTCAGCTGTCTCTGCCCAGTGTCACCATTCGCGCCATATAAGAGGATGGAGACGTTGGCATCCGTACCTGCGTGTGCTACGTCAGCGGTAAAGACTTCTATTAGATACTGGACGGGTTGAAGGTCTAAAACGAGAGAAGAAAAGATAAAAATGAGGTAAAAAGATGTTACATCAATGTCCGTTACCCGCTTGAAAATATGAAATCAGTTTACAAATATATTCGCAGAACGAAAAGAAATACGTAGCGGCAACACCTCTGAGGGACAATAATCTGTAACTATAGAGGATCCCTTTGATTCAAGCATCTTTTACCTCTAATAGTCGCTGACTTTGGTTTCTCTGATGACTTGCACTCTAAACGAACTGCATCATTCTTGTCATCGCTGAGAGGAATCCACTGACGGCAGGGAAACACGTATCTGTAATCAAATAAAATTAAGTGATTACAATCTTATCAATAATACGACATGAAGGCCACTCACAATCTCACTTTTCAGCTATGCTAGATAAAAATACTTGTATCAGTGAAATAGCAGAATTAACGATAGGAAGACACTACACGACGCTTTCATGGAAACAAACGTAAAATTACAGGAAACAACATTAACAATAATAACAATAACAACAACACTATGTCACTTCAAGTGCTTAGTCATATATGCTGCGTGATGTTGGCTGCACCAGTTGTTGCTCTGTAAATACTTTTGATGACATTTATTGCATTTAAAACAGAGATATATTCTTTTTAAACATAGACCGTCCAAGTTAAATGGTTTGTCGCTAACTCCAAGAGTCCTTCAAAATAATTAAATTTCCGTTTTACCTAAGAAACAATTCAAGTTAGGTTAAACAGAGCCAACAGAGAGCTTACTTTTCCCCTGTCTCAGGGTTGGTCACAATCACTTCATGTAAGAACCAACCAGTCTCTTTCCCGGTTCCCTTGACAACAGATCCCTGCCGTCTTCGATGTCCCAGTGTCACGTGAGTAAGATTCCCAAGACTTCTGGTCGCAAATTTAAATGTGTCTGTTTGTCCTCTACGTAGAACTTTGTTCTTTGCGCTGTTTTCTATCGGGTATTCCTGAGATTTCCTCTCTTCTCCTTCAAGTACGATCCAAGCATTCTGGGTTGTCCCGGCATTTTGCTTGTCACTTGTAAGGAAAGTAAGTTCAAAGGCTGCAAAAAGGGAATCAAAAAAGGAATTATGAGAGGAATGTTTATAGTCGTAGGGCAAGTACATTTTTGAACCGAATCACACCACGTCTATAACTGTTAGAGCTGCAAACATCATTGGAAACCAATTTGGGTTTCATGATCAGTTGTATCTTATATCTGAAGAAATGTTATTTACTTATTCATAGTAAGAGATATACGCCAAGGTCCTTCAATCAGTTAGTTGGTCTGCGCTTTCGTCGCCTTATAGGGAAAACTACATAACGTTCATAGGGATTGGTCGAAACAAGTCCTAAGCAGGATTTCTGCTAAGTCACGAACATGATCTGTATGATTACATAATAGGGTATTTCGTTTTATGGAATACAATACCCCCAAGGGGTGGGAGAGCAGCTAATACTCACTTGTGGGCGCTCGCGAGTCGGTACTCTTCTTAGCATTTGCGCATGTTAGCTCCCGTACCAGGCTTCCGTCGTCTTTATCCTTAGCCAGCCACCGATTACAAGGAAATAAGTATTTTTCATCATTGGATTCGTTGATGATTTCCACACTTTCAAGAAACCAGTTTGCTTTGAGAAATTTATTGTCGTGCCAGATACGGACTTTAGTAAGTTCACCTACAAAGAGAGAGTTTCGCATGAAACTAAAATCTACATCGATGAGGAAAAGAATGTAACAGATTTATCATTTCAGGAAGGTTCTAAATCAACTTAAAGCACACAGCTGTAAGAATACATACTTATAGACTCAACCACCGGCTCCAAACAGTGAAATACAGTCCAAACAGGTTTTCATAATTTCTGTTACAATTGCGTAAGAACTGAAACACAAAGCTTCCGCGATAAACTAAGCTAAGTAACTCAGCTGAATTGATTTGCTAAAACTTAGTCCAGAACAGAAATTCTAGTACCTTCCAAGACAACCTGGTCACCGTAGCGTTTCAGAGTTAAACTATTTCGGGCAACTTACACCAGTAAATAACATATGAAACAATACAAAAAAAAAAAAAATTCTAGGAGGGTCAAACTTAAGACTGTTTTAAAATCTTCTGGTCTAGATGTCACAAAAGTCAGGCATGGAAATTCTTCGTAAAAGAGTTGCTTTAATGCTATTTGCTTTGGTTCATGAAGAACAGAGCTTCTTTCCGCCAGTCACTTCACTTTACACTCACCCAAACTTAGGAAATTTTTGAAGCTAAACACGTCGGTATGATTCCTTTCAAACTTGTCTTTGTATGTTTCAGAATTCTTCAAAGCCAATTCTCCGCTATCTCCATGTTCTCCAAATATCACCATGAACACGTTCGCATCAGTTCCTGCTCCCAGCACATCGCCTGTCTTCACGTTAACTTTATATGAAGTTCCTGTTTAGAAAAAGTTGTGGAATAAGTTCTTAATTTAGAAAAGTGATCAACTCCTTAACTTGTAACGAAAAGGTGTTATCGATCACACAAGATAACGTCACCAATTTCACGGCAACGTGAATAAAATTCGTCTAACTGTACTCTCACAACTCGCTAAATAGATAAAAAGAAAACATGGTCTTGTGAAATACAGGCTAATTTTGGTATATTACTAGTGATGGCGATTCTGGTAATTGCACAAGAATAACTGGTTAAATAAAAGCAAAAGAGATCAAACTCTTGAAGCGCGTAAAAAAGCTTTGAATTGTTAGAAACTTAAGCCTGTTTAAACGTTGTAACTGTTAGATCAATGAATTTTGTATAAATAAATCTGTAGGTAAGCATCGGTTAAATTCTCAGCTTTTAATAATAAAATAATAACAAATTTAATACTTATATAGCGCAAAATTCGTTATAAGTAAATGATCTAATGCGCTTTACATTACATGTCTTAAAGATGGTTGACTCCATAGAACGATGAACAAAGGGAGTAAATCTTGAAATAAAGGTTGGATATTCAGTCCTCGGTCATTTGATCCACCAGCTTCTGTAGGCACCGTAAAGGACACTTACTTTTGAGTAATTCCTCTCCGTCAACCTCAGCCGGAATCTCTTTAACAAGTTTGCCATCGCCTTCTGTTTTGGAAAACCACTGGTTAGACTTGAAAACGCTCACACAATGTGTCTCCATGTTCCGTATGATAATCTATTGAGGGGAAAAAACTCGCATGATCTCTTGTACCTCCTATCAGTACGAATGTACCTGACTGAAAACGTCAACTGTTGGTTCAAAATTCATACCTTTTCCAAAAACCAATCATGACGAGTGCCTTTACCATCGACTGCGATCCTGACTTTAAGCAGTTTTCCCACATCATACAAGTCCATTTTAATAAGATCCACTCCTCCTCGTTCAAACCGCGACTCGTCTTTATCGAGTACAAACTCTGGAGTGGTGCCATCAGTGCCAAACATTGTCATGGATATGGTAGAGTCTGTTCCAGCTGACTTAACGTCCCCTGTGTACACCTCTATCTCATATTGCACATCTGCAAGGAAATAATTGACTTCATTATCACCAAAAACAATCCTTTATACCAAAAACCAATGCAACTTATGTCAATAGCACATTATTTTTCTCACGATTAACACCAGCGTTTTCCTGGATGTATCTAATCAAAAACGAGGGCCTATCAGACTAACTACAAGGCCGCTACCAAATCCGACAGTACTAACGAGAGTGCTACAAACGTGGAAAAGGGAAATGATTCCCCTCGCCCCAAGAAAATAATTAGTCACCAAGATATTGAAAGTTTTTTCTTGTTAGAATTCGTGGTAAGAAGTGTTCCAAGTATTGGAACTGGAATAGCAAACTTTAGATAAAAAAGACCATGTCAAAGCGAAAGTCGATTGTGTGAGTCCCAGTGAGTGCAGTTAAACATTGGATGCGGCTTTGCTATCTGGTTTTCGTTTTATTTTGCCTTTTTCTTCTCTAACTGAGAAAAGGGATGATGGGTTCGATTTGGCATTGACGAGCGAAGAGAATCCAAGTTTATTCCTTCACCGACGTTACATTCACGAACTTAGCTTCAAAACAATTTTCGTACAAAAACTTCAAAATTTCACTGCAAGTAACTCACGTGGTTTGTAAGTAACAAGATGATCATCTGACGCAGACAGCACGCGTACCACCTTTCCATCCTCCTTGTTCTGTGACAGCCACCTGTTGCACGGGAAGAAGTATTTCTTACCACTAGTGGGTACATCCACCTCCACTTCCTTCACAAACCAGCCGCTGTCCGCTCCGTAACCGTTGTTGGATATCTCAACTTTCTTCACTTCTCCAACATCTACAGCTTCCACTGAAAACGTCTCAGTGAGGCCAGGGGTGAACCCATCTCTCTGAATCAGTGCTAATGGGATCTTTTCCGTGGCCGCTTCACTTCCTATCAAAACTATGTGTGCCTGCGCTTTGGTGCCAGCGTCTGATTGGTCGCCTGTGGTCACGCGGATGGTGTAGGCAATAGCTGAGACAAAATAAACAAAGATAAGTTTCCACCCTCTACAGAGAAGGCCATAAAAAAACAAACAAACAAACAAACAAAAAAGTAAACAAAAATTATGGAGAAATGATACACAGATCGGAAATTTGCCAGAATAATTTGTTTCTAGGAAGCTAAAAAAAGAACGATAATTCCCTCTACAGAGCAGGCTATGAAAACAAAAACAAAAACGTAAACGCAAACAAATAATTATATAGAACAGATACAAAGATGAAATTTGTCAAAAAAAATGCTACTGTTCAAAAACTTCGGATCATATTGGAACTGCGGTTAGATTAAGCACAATCACCTCACTCCGCGTATGTAACGGCAAAATCTCTTCACTGCAATTAAAATAGAAGGTATGGCAATCAGAGAAGAGCATGGATTTTTTGAGCTAGAGTTGGACTTCACCTTCACGAACAGCTGCTGCATCTTTATCACCTTGGCCAAATTCTTCCATGAAAATGGCATCAGCTGTCGCACTTCGGTTCGCTGTTGGTAAACTTTCGTTGCTTCGTCCTAGAGACCCTCGGCTGCTGGCGAGGCTTCCGCGACTACTTCGTCGGGGACTGAGGCTGCTTTGGCTCAAAGATCTCAGACTCATTGTGCCAAGAGTAGAGCGTTCGCCCTAAAAAGGAAGCGCTCTGAGGTAACACCTTATATCCTGCAATAAGCCGCCAGCACTCATTTCAAATTTGAGGTAAGACACATCCTCCTTCACTAATTTTCGAAGATACTTATTGGAAAGAGAACGAAAACGCGAGCGACTGGCGATGAGAGCGAAACGCGGGGGACCACGGGAATAAGTGCGCCCATCTTAGAAAGGAGATGTCCTGAGTACGAGGCAATAGTTCATATCTTCATCATTTAAAAAAAAAAATTAAAAATAATCGTGCTGTGTAAAGTATACCTGATAGCCCTTTACATAAAGCGTTCGTTGGATTTTCCCTTCTTCTTTCTTTTTAGAAAGCCATCTCTCGCAAACGAACGGATAAAGTTTGTCTGTTTCCAAATCTCGAACATCGACACGATCCACAAACCAAGAGGGACTAAAATTGGCATTGTCGTGTCGAAGCTTCACCTTGAAAACATTCCCGAGTTCGGCGGCTTCCAAGGTGAAGATATCTTCCTGTTAAGCAAGGAAGAATACTATTAAGAATAATTTTACGAACAAAGGAAGCCTCGCTAAGGTGAGAGATATTATCTAAAAAAAATTTCAAATCCGAAAAGCTGACTGTAACGAGGCATTATGTAGCAACGGTTTGGGCATGGAAAATACTTGGTAATTGTATCTTAAAAGGGACTAAAATAAAATTAAGTTTTATATGTTAGGGCCAAGTCGTCACTTATCAGTCAAAGCTCAGATACATTCCACCTCAAATATTACTTGTCATCTTCTATTTCTGTTGCTGAGTTTATGCTAATGTTAGTTCAATTCCAATGCAAACACACAGGTAAGACTATTTCGACACTCACATTTCCCCTTTCAAACTTATTAGAGTATGTCTCTGACTTAGCAAGTTGCCTCTCCCCTGTGTCACCATATTCACCATATAAGGTGATAAAAACATTAGCATCTGTTCCTGCGCCTTTGACGTCACCAGTAAAGACATGAACTTTGTACTTGCGGACTGAAAATGATATGTAAATTGTAAGTTTTAGTAGAACTCATCTGAAAACAATAGTTCAAGACGAAGGTAAAACAACAAAGAAAAACAATAAATCAAAGAGAACGAGAAAAAGGTTTAAAACACGTATTATGAACTGAACTATAATATGTCTTTGCGCCTAGTTGTAAAATCCCCCCCCCCAAAAAAAAAAAAAACCGAAAATTCTTCTGCAGAAAACAGAATGAGATATAGCACCTATATACCGCTCAAATAAGCAGCAAATTTGGAAAAATTATCGGTACTACAATCTTTTCAGTTCGAGCCACACGAAAAAAGAACCATTAACAAATCTTAAAAACCATTACTGTAGAACGTTTACAACAAGAGAGGCTACGATTTGAGAGAAATGTTAAGGTCGAGACCGGATCCGTTCAAATCACCTCTCTTCACCATAGAGAACGAATAAAAACCAACAATAGCATCTTTCCATCTTCGCAACTTCTCCCAACTACAACTACTTTTTACTGTCTATACAAAGAAATTCAGTTATGGTCCCATCTTGTAGAGCCTACTTACGTTCCAACGTCTCTTGATCGACCTCCTTAGTTTCCACTTCTCCATCTTCCGTTACAGATTCTTCGATAACCTTATTAGGAATCAGCTCCCGCACAACAGATCCATCGTCTTCATCCTTGGCCAGCCATCTCTTGCAGGGGAAGGTGTAAGTTGTGGAAGATTCGCCGTCATCTTTCAAGCGTCGTACCTCCACCTTGTCAAGATGCCAACCAGGGGTCATGCCTTTGTTGTCGTGTCCGATTCGAATCTTTTCAATCACATCACCAACATTGTCGAGCTGCAAAAAAGTGATAAACTCTCATACAGAAATAGACATATGAAAAAGCAAACCGTGGCTTGTTTCACTCGACGTTTCTTTCCGGCCATAAGACTGTTCAAAAACCTTTTACTCTCAGAGTTCTTAGGGAAACTCGTTAAGTATTTCGTCATTAACCCTTTAATCTCTGAGAGTGACTAACATCTAATTTCTCCCTCCAATATCACCCCTTAATCAAACATTAAGGTTATGAGAATAAAGGAAATGATAATCAACTGAAGAAATTCTTGATTGTTAAACAAATTCTCCTTTGCCAGCACATCAGGAAATGTATAGAGAACAGTATGAAGAATATGCATACTGATGTTAGGGTGTAAAGGGTTAATGTCATCCGCACATTCAAGATGTTGTTAGTCCGCTAATCGATTTGGAAACGCACGATTTCAGGAGTTCTATAACAATCACAGAAAAGAAAAGTGCTAATATGGTAGGGGCGTAAAAACCTAAGAGGAGGGCTTTCTGAATGCCACCGTGTTTTAAGCGAGTAATATAATCTGTAAGTCAGTTTAAAAAGATAGTCCCGATCGTGCCCATGTTTCCGCAAAATGTGCAAAAAATTTAAGTCATCATTACGATAAGCAGATGTGAGCGTACAACCATTATCATGACTGTTCTGTATATCAACACATCTGTTATATCATACGGTGCACGGAATAAAAACCCACGGAACCCAATATATGATGTGTTCTCAATTCTCTTTTACTTGCGCAATAACTTTGTTCATGAATCTTGAATTGACACATTGTGGTATATACTAATAACAATTGGCATATACAGCAACAGTAGATAGTGTTGAAGGCACACGCTGATTGGCCACTCGAACTCCGGATATCCTTGGCTATTCACCTCTGAGCAACGCGCGCGGGATTTGCACTCCAAAAAATTGAAATCACTGCAGGAATTTCTTTTGGTATATACTAAAACAACTTTTCACCTCAGCGGCTGGTGGTGGATATTTACCTCGCGGCTAAGTAAATACCCCCATCTATTCACCTCCACTTAAGTGAATAATTATACATTTCTTCCAAACCTAATACACGTACCTCCTTAACAAACTGATCAGTTGATCCTCTCTTGAAGGAATCCTTTTGTTTCTTTGACGTGTCTGCTAACATAATCTCTTCAGTGCAGCCGTCAGAGCCGTAAAGTACAATATAAACATGAGCTGAGGTGCCAGCTCCCATCACATCACTTGTGAACACAGTCATCTCATACGGCACATCTGAAAGGTTCGTAGATACATTAGCAACATCACTAGGTAAATGTATATCTAAGCACAAACTGATCCAAACGAAAAGGCCTCAAATCAATCAAATCCAGTCGAAATTCGCAATACTCAGGGTCCGTAAAAACACAACTTAAGGTTTCAATTCGCGCGACGAAGTATGTGACACGATATCCGTGTTGGAAAATATTATTTGATGCAATGCAGCGTGCCCTGACAAGATGTTGCGTTACTGTGACGTAATGAAGCGTGGCACCCTAAATTGTTGTCACATTATTCAACACAGTGTGATTTGGTGACAAGTGATCCGGCGTGACGTTTTGTCATGTCATGTTGATTAGCGTGACGTAAAAGTCTGGAATGTGATGAACTGTGAAGTGAAGTAACGTAATACGGTTTAACGATAGGTGATGTGACACATGTGGGGTAATATATGGGGCGACGCGAAGTGATTTCCTTACACGGAGAATAAGCTTCCTCGGTGTCCACTCCAGGAAACAGCTCTCTCTCCAACTGTCCATCATCTTTGCCTTTATCCAGCCAGCGGCCGCACGGGAACACAGCTTTCTGACCAAGGGAAGGAACATCGATAATCACCTTGTCCAGGAACCAACCAGCAAATCCACCTTTATTGTCATGGCCGACCCTGCAGCAAGAGCAGTGGTTAAATGACGATATTACAAGTTGATATGGTTAAGTTACTCCACGTGGCCATAAAATGACACAATGTTGAACATATCAGATAATATGCATTGACAGAATCTAATAATGGTTGCCAGAAAATGCAAACCCCAAATACTTGAAAGCAAAAAGTCCATCATGGTGTTAGAATTACGCTGTTTCAAGCGTCACTTCCTTTTGGGAGTAAGCAGGCCGTCATAGAGCAAGCGTATCCACTTTAGACCTAAAAACAACTAAGAAATTCTTCTTTTTATCTATTCATAATCTCGCATTATCATTTTACCTGATCTTTTCAATTTCTCCAACTTTGGCATCAACGGTAAAGACATCTGTTTGGCCACGCTCAAATTTATTTCTGAACGTTTTCGAGGTTTTGAGAGGAACTTTACCTGACGAGTAAGTAGCAACAGAAATGTTATGACAAGAAGACTTCCAAGCACAAATGTAAAAACAAACCAGAATAAAATAACAGAATAAAAAAATAAAACAGAATCCTGTAGGATGGGTAAATCTACGACGCCTCAACATGCCCTCGGATTGTCAGGAAATCAGTCACTAGAACTTGGAAACGCTCTCCCCCTAGTGGCTACATTACATGGTCGTCATTTTTATGTTGAGCACATGATGTATCTCTTCATTTGACTGACCTGTATCCCCTTCTGCTCCGTACATAATAACATATACATTCGCATTGGTGCCGGCTCCTCTGACGTCACCAGTACTAACAGAGACTTCGTAGGTCGTGATACGAGCTGCAAGAGGTAACACACCAGCGAAATAAAATTGAGAGAAAAAATAATCATGATTGTACGAAATGCTTATCCACATTCTAAATTTATATCTTACACTAGAACAATAAATCAGATTTTTCTCTTTTTGCAACTTACAAGTACTAAATGTTATGGCGGGTATGCATGATTCCAGAACACACGCGGGCTGGTTTAACTGACTTTATGTGAACAGTTTCAATCAATTTGCGAATTAGCAATAAATAATTCCAAGATTTCTTCTGTTTCCGTTAAACAGCAGAAGTAACAGGGCAACATACCTTTAGCCTCAAGATCCACACCATCAACGTTGGAGATAACACTTGTTTTTCTGGACAAAGTCCTCTTTCTCTCCAGCTTCAAAGCTCGCTCGTCAACTTTAACAAGTTCGCGACAAATCTGGCCGTCGTCTTCGCTGGTTGCAAGCCACCGATTACAAGGAAATACATGTTTCTCCTCTGCTAGTTTGTCCTCGATCTCGATCCTGTCTAAATGCCAAGCGCTCTTTAATCCACTGTTATCATGCCACACTTTGACTTTACTGAGCGGGCCGAGGTTGACGCAATTGAACGAAAATATGTCCTCCTAAAAACCAAGAAATACATCTACCAGATATCAGCACCAATAAGAGCTTGAGGTAATAATGATCCTACGCGAGAAGTGTTGGATTAAAAAAGGAAGCAGGATTGCTACATATTCAATCAAAGTAACGACAATAAAGCGATAAAAAACTGTCTTACGACTTCAACACTTTTCCAAACTTTTGACTTCTGACCAATAAACCAAGTAACATTTCTATGACCACAGCAGCGAGGTGAGCGAAGGGAACAGAGCTAGCGTAACCGGCGGTTTTGGGTGCATACGGCTACGCTACTTACCGCTTCAAGGCGAATACAAAATCGCCAGTTACGCAAAATAAAGGAGAACTCACGAGAAACGTGTGTTTGCACGAGAATAGGTTAAAGTTACCAATTGCTTAATCATCACACTGCATCACAAAAACGATATATACAAGATTATTGGGTTCCTTACCATTGCCCAACTGATCTAATCTATCTTTGCAGTTACAATGAAATGAAATACACGCATTTAAACTATACATAAGGACATAAGAGTCCTTACTTTAACCTACAAACACACCCTAATTACAGATCTTACATTATTCCTTTCAAACTTGTCCATATGAGTTTCAGATTTATCCAACTTTCGTTCTCCAGAATCGCCAAATTCACCATACAAGCAGATGAACACATTGGAATTCGTTCCAGCATTAGAAACATCACCAGTGTGTACGTGGACACGGTACGTGTTTTCTACCAAAGATATAACATAATATTTGGATGAAAGATAAAAAACAAGTGAGCATTCGACCTTGTGCACTCTCAGCACACGTACTCCGGCCGCTGTACTACACCTTGGTACTATGGGCTCATCTGTTCAAGTTACCTGCAAGCGAGCCGCGTCTTGGTCTGCCACTGGAGTCCACGGGCACCAGTTCCCTCACGATCTGACCGTCGTCTTCGTCCCGAGCCAGCCAGCGGTTACACACAAAAAGATAATTATGTTCATCTCCATCACCCATCTCTTCAACCTCCCCAGAATTCCTTCGTTTCTTGCTTGGTTCTTTGTCTTCGGGCTTCACGCGGCGAATTTCAACCTTTTAAACAAGAGAGCAAAACTTCATGCAGCCATAGCTGAACGCGAACAATCAAAGGAGGTTTTTTCGAGTCAAATGGCCCACGCGTCGTTTACAGTAAATTTAATACTCGACTGAATCATTTTACCTTCTCTAAGAACCAGGCTGAGCGCATTCCATTGTTATCATGACCAACACGAATTTTTACCAGCTGTCCAATATCCTCGCACTCCACCTGGTGGATAAAAAAAAAAAGGTTGAATGGTGAATCCTAGTTCTCCCAGAGGCAATTAACACATAATTTCTCCTTATAATATCAATAAAATATCCATAAAAGTGGTAAACAGAAGAATACACTTGTCAGGTGTCAAGGCATTATCATAATATGACGCAAAATTCTATATACTGGGAACAAGAAAGCGTATAGCAGTTGCCTTCTATACACACTGTACAAGCAATTTTGCTCGTCAATATCGTGGTAAATTCGCCGCTTTAAAAATATAATTCCTACTTATGTCTTCTGCCCTCTACCGGATGGTTTCCACGCTCTGTCTACTCTCCACCCCCTGGAAGGGAGAGCTTGAGAGCGAGCCTTTAACCTTATCCTCAGAACTTACTTTGAACTTGTCAACCTGGCCTCTCTCGAAGTTGTCAGACTTGTTTCTCAGGTCAAACTGGTCAGACTTGCCATTCTCGCCATACATGACAAGAAACACATTTGCGTTGGTACCAGCTCCTCTGACGTCACCCGTGTACACCGTCACCTCGTGAGGGATTTCTACCCAAACAAAAACAACAATATTCTTGTGTCTATCTTTTTTCGTATGAACGTTCCACAAACTACTTTTAAGGCATTACTCGGCAAAATGAAGGAACAAAAACGTAAATTACTTGGGTTGCTCTGAGTCTGTTGTCCTGGGTACAACTCCCTCTCAATCTTGCCGTCGTCTTCATCATCTGCCAACCAGCGGTGACATGGGAAGACCACGTGTTCTCCACGTGAAGGGATATCTACTGTGACGTTATCAAGAAACCAACCAGCAGCACCACCTTTGTTGTCATGCGAGATACGCAACATTTCAACCTGATGGGAAGAATACGTCGAAAATAGTCAGTCAAGAAACCCGCAGCAAACTTGACTAGGGCCTAGTTGCATAAAACGCAGATAACGATATCTAACGGATAAACCGCTATCCAGTGAATAAGTGATAGTAAAACGTACTGCACTATCCACCGGAAAGAGGTTATCCAGTGGATAGCGTTAACCAAGCCTCGAACAACCGGAGCTAGCATATTTGGCTCCCTCAAGGAATCCACTGCCGTTATGAAGTGATTGTACCAAGTTTGGTGTA